GTAAAGACGCTGTCCAACTACAATCAGCTACAGATACTGCAGCTTTTAATGCAGTGATGTGATGCAATTAAAGGCTAATATTGCATCATCTCAGTATACATGCAATTTTCTATTGGTCACCAGTATCAATTGCGCAATATGCAGCTGAAGTTGCATCATAATTTTTGAATGGCTTACGTCATTAGATGGGTGAATATATCATGGAAACTAGAGCCAATCAACATTTTTTAGGGTCATTTTCGTTTTCAGCACCCCAAAATTATGTAAGATTAGCTAATTTTATGCCCAAAACTTTTTACCTGTTGAACAGTGTAATTAGACAGAGAATATTAGTTTATTTGACCTACACCAGTAGAAGTCCACTTCTCCAGGAAAATGAGGTAGAAAGGTCGGGTCCCCTACAAAACAAGCTTGTGGTGGCACCATAGGGACTAACATATATTTCTGCTTATAGACCTGCCATAGTTGAAAAGATTGGGGATACCAGACTATTTAAAGGGGAAAGGCCAGTGTGCAAAACACCTTTAGACCATAACAGTCCTGGAAGAAAGTAAGGGCAGACAGAATCACATTCAAACCTATCCCAAGGTAGTTCAGATTGGTAGATGTGCCATTGTGTTATCTAAAGGGGTAAAGCAATTTAAGGAGAACTGTCATTTTTTTTTTATAGCTGTGACCCTACCTGAAAAAATAAATGGGATAGGAAACCCCATAATTTAAGTATACCTTTTAATTTAGAGTCAAGAGGGAGAATATTTTTAGGGAACAAGGATTGCAAATTAGGGGTCAGCTTCATTAGACTATGTAAATGAGGCAAGTAGAACACCGATCTGGGATTCTGGTAAATTTAGAGACATACAGATAAATTTAGAAATATTCATAGAAAGGCAGATGGTGCTGAACATTTTTGCAGTGTTACGAACAAATTAGGTGACAAAATAATGGGTTGCCTAAGAAACGATAACAGTTCATCTGCATACAAAGTAAGTAAATGGTGAGAATTAGATGTAGTATAACCTTTAATATCAGGATGTAGCAGAATGGCAGAAGCAAACGTCTGTATGGCTAAGGAAATAAAAGAGAGGATAGGGGGCAGCCTTCACAGGTTCCCCTACCCACTTAAAAAAGTCTGCACTACAGTCAGGTAAATGGATTCTTGTCTAAGAAGCATTAAAAAGGGCCTGAATTGCATGAAAAATTATTTTTAAAAAACATATCGTTGCAATATGGCTGACAAACATTCCCAAGTCACTCTATCAAATGTCTTATTGATATCAAGTGTTACTAAAGGCAGATTTTTTTTAAAAAAATTAAAACAAAAAAAACATGTTATAGTCACCTACTCTGTGCAGTGGTATACTCCTCTTCTCGGGTCCCCTGCTGGCGATCCTGGCTCCTCCTTTTCTTTGTGTGTCCTCATAGCAAGCCGTTTGCTATGGGGACACAAGCTGCGTGATCACTTCCGACCTGTGTGTCTATGGAGCCATGCTTCATAGACACACAGCTGGACTCAGCCCTTCCTCCCACTTCCTCTTAACTGCATATTATTGACAACTACAAGAGCCAATGACTTCTGCTGCTGTTCGAGTCCCTGTGTGAAGAGGAAGTGAGGGGAGAAGAGATGCTGCTGTGCACAGTGCAAACAATGCATTAAGGTAAAAAAACATTTTTAGGTTTAGTATGACTTTAAGAGAAGATCTGACAGTGATTTAAGGTTGCAGTTCTGGATTATATTCATAGCTAATCTGAGGTTATCTGTTATTTGATGGCCAGGGATAAAACCTGATTGGTATGGGGATATTAAAGAAGGAATCAATTCCAAAACTAGCTAACCCTTACTATGGGCCTCTCATTCAATCCATTCTAAAAAGCTTTTTAGTTTATGATAAACCATCATTTTCATCGCCTGAGTAAACATAATAGAGATGAATATTCTGACCAAAATATACTTATTTCAAACTGTACCAGTAAACCCCCTAAGGCTTTGTCCTCCCAGATTTCCCATTTTTGAAGCGTTTTAAATCTGCCTAGCAACAAGAAAAACAAAAAAAAAAGAAAAACAAAATGCATCAAAAACACAGGTGCAAAAACGCAATGCAAAACACTATGCAGAAATGGCTCAAAACGCAACCTGCATAGGTGTGAACCTAGCCTTATATAGTGATCAATGATAACACACCTAAAAGGCATGTAAAATGCAACAAACCTAAAATGAATCACAGAAATATGAACTGGGCTTTAGATTTTATTAAAACCCTATTGTAGCACACTGCTCACTTTACAGAAATCCTGCTTCCTAGTTGAAATAGTGTAATTAAGCCAGGGGCGGACTGACAACTCATGGGGCCCCCGGGCAATAGGAGATCATGGGGCCCCTGTGTCCTTGCCCAAACTCAAAAAAAGCCTATGAAAAAGGTACCAGAGGTATCTCATGGGGCCCCTTACTGACTTCGGCCCCTCGGGCAGTGCCCGAGTTTCCAAATGGTCAGTCCGCCCCTGATTTAAGCATGTCTAGGAGACTAGCTGTATCATAGCAAAACTGTTTTGAAACTGAACAGATTACTAGAATAAATGGATATAGCTAGTAGTGGATTGCAGACATCCTATAAAAGTTTAACAGTACTATTCACACTCTCTGACTCCTTCTAAGTCCTGTTGCTCACAGTGTGTAAAATTGTGGAGTAATATGAAAAGCTGACAATTTTTGCAGCAGTATCAGTATGTATCTTTCAAGATAAATTGGACATCTAAGCTCTAAGTACATAAATCCATCTGTACTATCACCCATGCCATGTATGAATACTAATTCACCCTGCTCTGCTATATGGTAAATGTCTGTGAGCAATATCCATCTGTACTATCACGCATGCCATGTATGAATGCTAATTCACCCCGCACTGCTATATGGTAATCTATACTGCTTTTAAAATCCACCTCTAACTGAAGCTGATCCATAACTATCAGTGCTCTTATTGGTAATTCTTACTGCTTCCAAAATCTCTAACTCTGTCCATATTGCTGTGGTGTTTATTTTGCTCCTATTGTCTAACCCACATTTATGATATGATCCTAATCTTTACAACTCTGCCCTCCTGCTCTCTTGTTGTCTCTTGTAGTCCTCCTTTGGCGTGCTAGCCAAGTGGCTTTGCTATGCATTCCTAATTGATTAATTGGAATACCCCCACCCAACTCAGGGTAGGCACAGCCAGGGGTAGCATTGGCAACTATCATCTTGGATAAAGTATTGATTGTGGCTTAAGTATTGAGCATTGCACTTCGGCTCTGCACTTCAGCAAAACCACAAAGCGAGAAGCAGACAACTTCAAATACTAAACAGATTACAGATGACCTGTTTCCACATCCAGCTCTTTCAGCTCTTACCCAGTCTGCTTCTTCAGCTCACCACTCCCTACTCCTCTTCTCACAGTTGTATCCTCTCTCTTCAAACTCTCTCTCCTTCACCCCTCTTCTCCACCCCACAGCTTATATATATCACCCTCACTCCTGCCTTCACTTTATTACTGTACTCATTAACTCCTGCTAATTCTGAGCCCACATACTAATAAAACCTCCAGGACACTGAGACCTGTCCCTCCATATAAGTCATACTCCCATATTACCTCTCTCACCCTTCTGCTTCTTCTAACATCTGGAAACATTTCCCCAAATCCTGGACTGCCATCTTTTTACTTTGACCAATACACCCGGCACACCCTATCTTCTAACAGCGGCCGCAATCCACACAATCTGCTTAGTATTCCTCTTTTTCCTAGAACCAGCCTCCCCTTTTCCTGTGCCCTTTGGAATGCCCACTCTCTGTCTGTAACAAACTCACCTCTGTCCATGACCTTTTTATCACAACCTGCTTGCAGTTACGGAAACCTGGCTTCTTGAATCTGACTTTCACTCTCCTGCTGCCCTCTCCTATAGTGGTCTCCTCTGGACTCATTCTCCCAGGCCTAGTCGATGGAAAGGAGGTGAAGTTGGAATCCTCCTATCCCCACAAAGCACTTTTCAGGTCCTTCATTCACCTCCCTTTCTGTCCCTCTCCTCATTTGAAGTTCTCTGCATTTGTCTATTCTCTCCAGTTTCTTTAAGAATTGCTGTGATCTATTGGCCTCCTGGACCGGTATCAAGCTTACTTGATGACTTCTCTACCTGGCTGCCTTATTTTCTCTCTTCTGAAATTCCCACAATCATTCTTGGTGACTTCAACATCCCTGTTAATCTTAGCACTCCTGCTACTTCTAAACTCCTAAGCCTAACCACTTCTTTTGACCTAAAACAATGGACACTTGCTTCTACTCCAATGGTAACTGCTTCGACCTTGTATTCTCCTAACTATGCACTCCTTGCAACCTTATTAAACTTTCCTTTTCCTCTCTCTGATCACTCCCTTATTAGCTTCACTCTCTCCTTGGGTTTCTCCTCCTTGTCTTCCAACTACCAAACAGTTACCCGTAGAAACCTTCACTATCTTAACCCCCGCCTTCTCAACCTTCTCAACCCCCTCTCTTCTTTTTTCTGCAACAGATTGTCTCTATGACAAAATCTCAGCACTGTCCTGCCCCAACCTGGCCACCTCTGTCTACAACAATTCACTGTCATCCACTGTGGACACATTGGCCCCCCTCACTACACACAGAATCTGGAAACTGCTTTCCAAAATTTCACTAACAACTTGCTAAACGCTAAAAGAAATGGTCACTATTCTGTACTCTTACTCTTGGACCTCTCCGCTGCCTTTGACACAGTTGACCACCCCCTCCTCCTCAAAAAACTCTATTTACTTGGTCTCCATGACTGTACTCTTCATTGGTTTGAATCATGCCTATCTCACCGAAACCTTCTGTCAGGAATGGACTGGCCAACAATGGTGGGACTCACCTGCCTTTTGATCTGCAGTACCAGGGCTGGCCAGCGGGTGCTCCCAGCAATCAGAGACTCAACCTTTCAGCCAGCTAATACCTGGAACTGATTATACTGGTGTATTTAAGGGATGGCCAGACTTGCAGACTCTGCCTTGGTGTTGTGTTTGTCCTGGGCCCTGTATCTGTCCTGCATCCTGTTTCTGTTCCTTTGCTGACCCTGCCTGATCTGAACCGCTGCTGACTTCTCCTGCTCTGATCCCGGCTCGCTCCTGACCATCCCCTCTGCCTGACCCTCTGTACCACGCTGCTTGCTACCTGTTCTGATCCCTGGCTTGTGACCCTGACCATCCCTCTGCCTGACCCTCTGTACTACGCTGCTAGCTACCTGCTGAACCTGGCCTGTGACCCCGACCCATCTCCGCTTGCTCCCCCTGTACCTACCTGCCCTATTGATATTGACCCGGCCTGCCTGACGACGCTTGCTTGTATGTACTGTTATCTGTGGGTGGTTGGTTTGGTTTGTTTGCACTGTATTATGTTTAGTATTGCACTGCGTTTATGTTTGTATGGTTAGTGTTAATAAATTAGATTGTTTATCACATATCTGAGGTCTGCGTTTCCCTGCGTCAGTCACACACCTCTGGTCACACCTGGGAGCCCTGACATTACACCAAGGCCAATCCTGACCAGAAGTGGAAGGATGGATCTGGATGAGGTTGAGTATTTATCTCTGCTAGTGCTTGATGACAGAAAATATGCTTATCAGACTCTGAAGGAGTATCCCCGGGATGAACTGCTAGAATGTATACGGCTCGCTCATGTTCTAGTAGATCAGGGCACAGATTTCTCTATGGTGCAGCCATTGATTAAGGTTTGTGTTGAGTTGGTTTCATCTGGTTCCCCCGAATGCAGGGATGAATTTTTGCCACCATTTAGTGCAGACCAGGTAGAGTCCCTGGTGTGGTTATTAGAGGATGATGTGGGTTACTTTCTGGAGCGTTATTCCACATGTTCACCACAGGTACTAAGAGATTGTATAAACACAGTGCAGTCTTTGTCAGACAGGCTTTGTGTAAGCTCAGCTTTGTTCAACCCATACTGCAGACATGGACAGACTTGTTGCACCCAGCCTCAGTCAGCTTACAAAGACCCAGTCCTGCTTCTAATCTATTTCCTCAAAGCTCTACTCCTGTATTCCCAACAGCACCTCCCCCAGTTACAGCCCAGTATACTTGGCTATCTACCGCATGTCAGTACCCTGTTCCCACTCGCTGCACCTATCCTGCCTTTAACCCTGTAAAAAAGCCCTCTGTAGCAACTGCTCCCTCTCCTGTTCCATCCTCCAGTTCTTCTCTGTCTCCAGCTGCTCCATTCGTTTGCAGACCTGCATTTACTTGCAGTGCTCCAGTAGTTAAAACCAGAAAAAAGCGAAAATTCTTTCCAACCAATACCATCCTGCCAGTATCCAAACCGGTGAACCTGCCTTCCGTGGTTCAGCCTGAATTCCTCTACTCAGCCTGATGCCTACTCAGCCTGATGCCTGTACTCAGCCTGATGCCTGTACGCGCCTGATGCCTGTACTCAGCCTGATGCCTCTCTTCTGCCTGAAGCCTCTACTCAGCCTGAAGCCTGACTCAGCCTGATGCCTCTACTCAGCCTGATGCCTCTACTCGGCCTGATGCCTCTACTTCTGCCTGATCTACTCGCCTGAAGCTCTACTCGCCTGAAGCCTCTACTCGGCCTGAAGCCTCTACTCGAAGCCTCTACTCGGCCTGATGCCTCTACTCGGCCTGATGCCTCTACTCGGCCTGAAGCCTCTACTCGGCCTGGAGCCTCTACTCGGCCTGGAGCCTCTACTCGGCCTGGAGCCTCTACTCGGCCTGGAGCCTCTACTCGGCCTGAAGCCTCTACTCAGCCTCTACTCAGGACGCCGGCATTCAGCCTGATGCCTCTACCCAGCATGATGAACTGATCCAGCCTGACGATCCTATTAGGCCAGTTGACTCGATGCCCGCTGTTGATCCAGATGATCCGGTACCTGATCCGGTGCCCGCTATCGTGCCAATTGACTCAGAGCCCGCTGTCGTACCTGGTGACTCCCACTGCCCACTGCCTTGCCAGATGACGCGGTGCCCGCTGGCGAGCCAAATGACCTGATGCCTGGTGACCCAGTGCCCGCTGTCATACCTGGTGACCCGATGCCCGCTGTCGAGCCAGACAATCCGGTACCTGATGACCCGGTGCCCACTGTCGTGCCTGTTGACTCGGAGCCCACTGCCTTGCCAGATGACGCGGTGCTCGCTGTCGAGCCAAATGACTTGATGCCTGGTGACCCGATGCCCGCTGTCCAGTCAGACGATCCAATGTCTGACCCAGTGCCAGCTGTCATGCCAGTTGACTCGGAGCCCACTGTCGTGCCTGGTGACTCGGTGCCCGCCGCTCCGCCTGGGGGCCCGAGACCTGCGCTCCGCCTGGGGGTCCGGCGCCGCCGCTGCCTGGGGTCCGGCGCCCGCCCCGCCGGAGCCCACTGCCTGGGGGCCTGAGACCTGTCGCTCCGCCTGAGGGCCCGAGACCTGTCGCTCCGCCTGGGGGGGGTCCGGCGCCCGCCGCTCCGCCTGAGGGCCCGAGACCTGTCCCGCTCCCGCCTGAGGGCCTGATGGGGGGGGTCCGGCGCCCGCCGCTCCGCCTGAGGGCCCGAGACCTGTCGCTCCGCCTGGGGGTCCGGCGCCCGCCGCTCCGCCTGAGGGCCCGAGACCTGTCGCTCCACCTGGGGGTCCGGCGCCCGCCGCTCCGCCTGAGGGCCCGAGACCTGTCGCTCCACCTGGGGGTCCGGCGCCCGCCGCTCCGCCTGAGGGGCCCGAGACCTGTCGCTCCATCTGGGGGGTCCGGCGCCCGCCGCTCCGCCTGGGGGCCCGAGACCTGTCGCTCCACCTGGGGGTCCGGCGCCCGCCGCTCCGCCTGAGGGCCCCGGCGCCCTGCCGCTCCGCCTGGGGGCCGGCGCCCGCCGCCCGCCTGGGGGCCCGAGACCTGTCGCCCCGCCTGGGGGGCGCCCGCCGCCCGCCTGGGGGCCGATGCGCCCCCGCCTGGGGGCCCGATGCCTGTCGCCCCGCCTGGGGGCCCGATGCCTGTCGCCCCGCCTGGGGGCCCGATGCCTGTCGCCCCGCCTGGGGGCCCGCCGCTCCGCCCGCCTGGGGGCCCGGTGCCCGTCGCCCCGCCTGGGGGCCCGGTGCCCGCCCCGCCCGGGGGCCCGTGCCCGTCGCCCACCCGGGGGCCCGGTGCCCGTTGCCCAGCCCGGGGGCCCGGTGCCCGTTGCCCCGCCCCCGGGGCCCGCGCCGCTGCCTGCTGCTCTCGCCCGGGGGCCCGGTGCCTGCTGCTCCGCCTGGGGCCCGCTGCCTGCTGCTTCGCCTGGTAATCCGATGTGCCTCTGCCCGGGGCCCGATGTCCCGCCCGCCCGCCCTGCTGCCCGAGTCCTGCCCGCCCTCTGCCCGGAGTCCTGCCCGATGTGCCTCTGCCCGGAGTCCTGCCCCGATGTGCCTCTGCCCGGAGTCCTGCCCGATGTGCCTCTGCCCGGAGTCCTGCCCGATGCCTGCCCCCGCTGCCCGGAGTCCTGCCCGATGTGCCTCTGCCCGGGGGTCCTGCCCGATGTGCCTCTGCCCGGAGTCCCGCCCGATGTGCCTCTGCCCGAGTGCCTGCCCGATGTGCCTCTGGGGGCCCGGAGTCCTGCCCCTGTGCCTCTGCCCGGAGTCCTGCCCGATGTGCCTCTGCCCGGAGTCCTGCCCGATGTGCCTCTGCCCGGAGTCCTGCCCGATGTGCCTCTGCCCGGAGTCCTGCCCGATGTGCCTCTGCCCGGAGTCCCTGCCCGATGTGCCTCTGCCCGGAGTCCAGCCCGATGTGCCCCGGAGCCCGATGTGCCTCTGCCTGGGAGTCCAGCCCGATGTGCCTCTGCCCGGTGTCCAGCCCGATGTGCCTCTGCCCGGTGTGCCTGCCCGATGTGCCTCTGCCCGAGTGCCCCCGATGTGCCTGCCCGATGTGCCTGCCCGATGTGCCTGCCCGGAGTCCTGCCCGATGTGCCTCTGCCCGGAGTCCTGCCCGATGTGCCTCTGCCCGGAGTCCAGCCCGATGTGCCTCTGCCCGATGTGTCCAGCCCGATGTGCCTCTGCCCGAGTCCAGCCCGATGTGCCTCTGCCCGAGTGCCTCTGCCCGATGTGCCTCTGCCTCTGCCCGGAGTCCAGCCCGATGTGCCTCTGCCCGGAGTCCAGCCCGATGTGCCAGCCCGATGTGCCCGATGTGCCGCTGCCCGGAGTCCAGCCCGATGTGCCGCTGCCCGGAGTGCCCCGGAGCCCCGATGTGCCTCTGCCCGGAGTCCAGCCCGATGTGCCGCTGCCCGGAGTCCAGCCCGGTGTGCCGCTGCCCGGAGTCCTGCCCGGTGTGCCAGTCTTTGATATCCCGCCAGTTACCAGACCCGGGCGGTGGAACATTTTGCCCAGCTAGGACTGTTTTTGAGCGTCCTGAGGCCGCTCCTTGAGGGGGGGGTACTGTCAGGAATGGACTGGCCAGCAATGGTGGGACTCACCTGCCTTTTGATCTGCAGTACCAGGGCTGGCCAGCGGGTGCTCCCAGCAATCAGAGACTCAACCTTTCAGCCAGCTAACACCTGGAACTGATTATACTGGTGTATTTAAGGGATGGCCAGACTTGCAGACTCTGCCTTGGTGTTGTGTTTGTCCTGGGCCCTGTATCTGTCCTGCATCCTGTTTCTGTTCCTTTGCTGACCCTGCCTGATCTGAACCGCTGCTGACTTCTCCTGCTCTGATCCCGGCTCGCTCCTGACCATCCCTCTGCCTGACCCTCTGTACCACGCTGCTTGCTACCTGTTCTGATCCCTGGCTTGTGACCCTGACCATCCCTCTGCCTGACCCTCTGTACTACTACGCTGCTAGCTACCTGCTGAACCTGGCCTGTGACCCCGACCCATCTCCGCTTGCTCCCCCTGTACCTACCTGCCCTATTGATATTGACCCGGCCTGCCTGACGACGCTTGCTTGTATGTACTGTTATCTGTGGGTGGTTGGTTTGGTTTGTTTGCACTGTATTATGTTTAGTATTGCACTGCGTTTATGTTTGTATGGTTAGTGTTAATAAATTAGATTGTTTATCACATATCTGAAGTCTGCGTTTCCCTGCGTCAGTCACACACCTCTGGTCACACCTGGGAGCCCTGACACCTTCAGTGTCACTTACAACTAGCTCTTCCCCTCCTACTTCTCTTACTGTTGGGGTCCCCCAAGGTTCTGTCCTTGGACCTCTCCTATTCGCAATCTACACCTCTTCCTTGGGACAGCTGATAGCTTCCCATGTTTTCCAATACCATTTCTATGCTTATGACACACAAACCTATCTCTCTATTCCTTAACTCACCCCATCAGTTTCCTCACATATCACTGATTTACTAACAGACATATCAGACTGGATGTCACACCATTTCCTAAAACTCAATCTATCCAAAATTGAGCTCATAATATTTCCTCCCCCACGTGCCTCTTCCCCTGATTTCTTGGTCAGGATCAATAGCACCACTATAAACCCATCCCCACATGCAAGAGTGCTAAGGGTAACCCTGAATTCTAAACTATCCTTTCAGGCCCACATCCAATCTTTGTCCAATGTCATGCCGCCTCAACCTCAATATCTCCAGAATACGCCCCTTTTTGACCAATGATACCACAAAGTTCCTAATTCACTCCCTGGTTATCTCTCACCTCGACTACTGCAACTCCCTCCTCATTGGCTTGCCTTTACATAGGCTATCCCCCCTCCAGTCCATCATGAATACTGCTGCCAGGCTCACCCACCTTACCAACCGTTCAGTGTCTGCTACCCTTCTCTGCCAATCCCTCCACTGGCCTCCATTTGCCCAACGACTAAAATTCAAAATACTAACAACAACTTACAAAGCCATCCACAACTCTGCCCCCAGCTACATCACTAACCTGGTCTCAAAATATCTACAAAACTGCTCTTTTCGATCCTCCCAAGACCTTCTGCTCTCTACTTCCTGTGTCACCTCCTCCCATGCCCACCTCCAGGACTTCTCCCAAGCTTCTCCCATCCTATGGAACTCCCTACCCCAATCTGTACAACTATCTCCTAATCTATCCACCTTCAGACGATCCCTGAAAACCGTTCTCTTTAAAGAACCCTATCCTGCTTCTAACTAGTAAACTGCCTTTTATTTCCTCCATCAGCTCATTTTCCCCACAGATATTACTCTTCCTACCTAGATTGCAAGCTCTAATGAGCAGGCCCTCTGTTTCATTAGGTACCAAATTGTATTGTAACTGTTATGTCTACCTTCATTTTGTAAAGCGCTGCACAAACTGTTGGTGCTATATAAATCCTGTATAATAATAATAACAATAATAAAGATAGCTGGGCATAATTTGTGGTGGAATCATAAGGTTTTAGAAGAAATAACTACAGTTCAAGAAATTGCTAAAATTCAAATTATCCGGCTAATCATTTTTAAAGCGATGTAAGTGATGCAGCTAAGAGGTCAAGTACCATTATTAAAAGTAAACCTTCATAATGAGGAAATAGAGTTGAGTGAGTAACTAAAAATTTGGCTTGTGAAACTGCTTGGTTTGAACATTGCGATACTTAGCTGAGTGGCATTGTGACTTAATCTGTAAGTGGATTTTTTTACTGGAATAAAGCAAATTTAATGTACTACACTATGGTCTGCATCCTTTACCTTTCTGCTGATTACCTGTGATAACCCTTGTGAATGGATGAGTTGCGGTCCAGGAAACTATTGGAATCATTCAGTCGAAGCAATGTTGACCATTTAACCCTGAATGGTCCATGATATTTGGTAAGAGGCTTGTGGCTTTATTGTCTTTATCTGGTGTTGGTACATAGTATTGTGGCGTATTACGACACTGGAAGGTAGAAGGTTTTTGTCCAAAGTGTTTTGACACTTAAATTTGCTAATGGCCATTTAATATTGAATGGTCCATACTGTTTGGTAAGAATCTTATGACTTCATCTTTTGCATGTTGAAATTAAACACATAAGTGTGGTGATATTTTGTCTTTGGAAGGAGGCTTTAATCCACTAGGAGGATCACAATGCCTTAGACTGTTATTTTAGGGACATTATTAATCTGTGGTACATCTATATCAATAGGTTGTATATTTATTTTCTTTGCACTATTTGCTCTGTAAGTATAGAAATGTTTTGCACTACTAGCAGTTTAAGTATGATATATTAAATTATATTTATTGCACTTTATATTGTGTATTTGATATTGCACATATTGAGTATGGAGAATATATAGCTCTACACTGGTTGTTTTCATAATTTGTGGATTTGTTATCACAAATTGAGTGTTGGCAGCTTTATCTTGACACTAATTTTACCTAGTGCCAAATTAAGTTTTGAAACTAAACTGATCCTCGATTAGTTCACTTTACTAAAATATTCTCTCACCCATTATAATGACCCAGAACCAATGTTTTTCAGGTAGAAAGTTTAAAGGTCACATTTTAGGATTGTAGTAGAATTATAGTGTTTATGTAACTTTATATGCACACTAAATGCATGTCTCTCATACAGCTTATTATGAATTTATTCTTTGAGTCCTTTTAAAGTTGTTGTTACAAGGACAAAAATATCAACACCAGCATAAACACAGCCTTGAGAACCCGAAAGGAAAATCTACTTCCGTTCAAAGAGAAAAAAAAACAAACAACCGTGTACCTCTAGTAACCACATACAACCCAGCACTAGAGGGAATAAGAAAAATAATCAAAGATTTACAACCCATCATAACAGAGGATGGAACTCTGAAAGAAATATTCCAGCAACCCCCAATACTAGCTTTCAGACAATCCCCCCAACCTCAGAAATAAATTAATCAGTAGGGAACTTCCTTCTGATTATGATGTCACAAATAATGGAAGCAAACCCTGCAATAAGAAACGCTGCAAACTGTGCAACCAAATCAATCCATCAAAAAGTGTCAGACATTCAAAAGGGATCTTCAATATCTCCGGATCATACAGCTGCACTTCCAGTAATGTTGTGTACCTTATCCAGTGCAGCAAATGTAGCAAAGGATCTTATGTTGGCGAAACAGGACAGAAGTTGCAAACAAGGATGAATTTGCACAGACATACCATCAAGGAACATAAAGAAGATGACTTTTGCACACCTGTGGGACACCATTTCGCACAACCAGACCACATTATGGAAGACCTCAATGTTTTAGTTCTTAAAGGAAATTTCAAATCCATTCAGGAAAGAAGAAATTTTGAACTAAGAATGATAATTCTATTTGACACAAGAGATAAGGGCCTTAATTTGGACATGGGATTCCTCAATCATTATCCAACATTTTTATGACTCCCTCTGTGAGTGTTGTTTCCTCTGGTTCCTCTTGATTGGCTAGGGCAGGATGATGTACAGTAACTTCTGCTCATGAGTCATACTACCTGTCACTCCTATTGTCGGGATTGGATACTGAGCAGTGCATGTTCAACTGTCAGTGTACAATGTGAAAAAAAAATGCTAGCAGGCAGGGGAAAAGAATATTTGGTATACGAGACCTACAGAGTTACTTCTTACATTAATATCTACCTGCTATCCATTTTTTCCTTCACAAGTTTTAGTTAAGCTAAAACTGACAAAGAA